TATCTGACTTTAAGCTAGTTATCGTATGCAATACCATTATTTTAATAAGTTTTGTCTAACATTCACATAATATTTTTTGTCCTATATATTAATTTAAAAACTGTTCTCATAAATTCAGATTTGACCTGTTAAGACTTGTACTAACGTAAACACTACATTCACTAATATCATAGTTGTAATTATTTATGTTGACTTTATTTACATTTTCAATTCGGGGATATCCGACTACTTTCAAAATCAATAGGGGCCCTTATTCGTAAGCACGGTTCACTATTGTGTCGCGAGTAGCAATGTAAAATGTAAAAAAAAAATGTAAAGCCGACATAAATAATCACATACATACAGTATGACTCACGATAGTTATTGACAATTGTTTGTTATGAGATTTATACTTATATCTACATCCACTTTATCGTGAAGGTGGTATCAAGTCAATCGTACTAATAGTAGCGTGCATTCCCCATAGAATTACTGAGACTATTTCCAATACTCCCACTGGACAAACCATACTAATATCTTATTTCGATTTCTGATCCCATTACCATATTATTCTATATATACACTCAAAATCTAACTCCAATATGATAAAATGTATCGGTATAATTTAGTTCTTATAAGACGGAATAGATAGAAATGATATTTTATCAACCCGCTTGCCGAGCGTGGTGACTTATGGGCATAAACTTACCAATGAAAAGGACCAATAACGTGTGGCTCCCAGCGCAAGAAAGCGGAGAATCGCACATGTTGGAAGGCATTGGAGAAGAACAGTAGATAATACAAGCTAAAATGATGATGATTAATATTGTATCCGTATTATTTTCTACAACAGAGATTACAAAGAAGTGTAAGACGATTGTAAAAAGACTAAATGATAAAATAATATCTGAGAAAGGAATAATGGAGAGCATGATTTCGAATATTGTTTTGAAAAGTTTTGGAAAGATTTTAATTCTGATAATTAATGAGCACTAATGTACTAAAGACTTCCTGGCTGACGCTATTCAGATATTGTCTTATATTAATTTGATACATAGTATACATTATGTAATATATGCAATTTAATTTAATATTGTGACAGTTTTAAAGTTTTATAATATTATATTTCGATGAAATGGGAAATTTATTTTTAACGCCCATTAAACTACGAGCATAATCTGCCCGATATTATAATCCGAAAAGTATAACTTGCTACTATATCCGGCGTTTATAAATTATGAGAAAACCTGTGATTCGGTCGAGACGTGGGCGGTACTACAGTCCCTCAAGCGGTACCAGATTAACTATAGGTATATCGAAGAGTTGAAGTATATGTACAGTAAGGTACAATATGTATGTATCCCAATACAAAAAGGTGTAAGACAGGGTAACGTCATTTCACCAAAACTCTTCGCAGCTGCATTGGAAAATGTTTTCAAACTCCTAAACTAGAAAAGATATAAACATCAATGGCGAATATTCGAAGCCTAACGCAATGTAAAAGCCTTTACAAATAAATAGTACATATGTGCTTCTTTATTACCGACATTTTGACGTAGATTGCACCATGTCGGCAGCTCACGCAGTCTCTTCGGGTACCCTCACACTGTCACCACTAACACCTAGATGCACCTTACACACCGTACTCACGATATCCACATCGATTTAAACAAATTATCGTGTGAATTTAATGCACTAATCACTAGGTCCCGTGCTGATGAAAGCCTACATCTATCTCCCCTGCTGAATTTTTTTCGGATTCTTCTTAATTTCATTTCAATTGCTTCACATACTATTACATACATATATATACTATCCAAGGATTATAGTGACGCTAGGTAGATAGAACCTTTGTATCACGCAGTTCAATTCAATGATTAGTAAAGCAGATTCATAAGCTATCTATCTATCTAGCTGTAATAGCTCATATATAGGCTAAACGGACCATAGCCCAAAGGGTCAAAGAACACATAGCAGCAGTCGAAAGCAGGCAAACAAATTATATATATATATATATATATATATATATATATATATATATATATATATATATATATATATATATATATATATATATATATATATATATATATATATAATCAACACAAGGTCAAATTACATAAATAAAATGTTTGCTTATAAAAAATAATACCTAGAAATGAGTCAGTCATTTCCATTACAAAATGGCCGACTCAAAAATAATAATACAAAAATTTCATGTGTGTACCTACATGCATTATTTTTTATATAACAAGGTGTACGCAATAAAGACGAAAATATGCAATGTATATCAAACACACGTAATTGACAGCATAATAATTAATTTATGTTTTGACGCTTAATATTCATAGGACTGAGTAAAAAATTTTATTATGCAGATTTATTTTTTATTTTGATAAATAAAAAATGATGGAGTGTGAATAATAAATTGTTAAATCTAATTTTGTAGAGAAACTGAAATCCCAAAAATACTTGATAATAATAAATATAAATAATCTCGGATATACAAGTTCTACTAAAGAGTTCTTTTTTTTTTGTCAGTGACAAATTATGATAGAGAAAGAATATTAATATATTAAATAAACAATTTTATAAAATCATGAAAATTATAATTATTAGCTACCGTTCAAACTTTATTCATAATGAAAAATCTTACTATCTTATTTATATGTTAATGACACGTAAATAACAAACCATATCTAATGCATTCAATAGCATTAGGTCTCGAGTGTCAGATGAACAATCTATGAAATTTTCTTTTGACTTTGAAGAGACTGCAGCAAGAGCGACTGTCGGGGTATTCCCAAATGTAATTATCAAAAGACGCTTTTACCATTTTACTAATGCAATCTGGATGGAAGTAATACAATCATACTTAACGAAATTATAAACCATAAGATGGATATAAATTATACGGTAAAATTGATAACCATATCAGCTATCTATTCATTATGAATTGAATCGAAAATAAAAAAAAATACATATTATGATGTTCTTTAGGGAATTATTTAAGAATTACTAATAATGTGGAAATACTAATTTAATAGTAATAATATACGATAGACGAATACTGCCATAGCTCAAAGATCAAAATAAAATTAAGATTCGCTGAGTATTTATAACAGAGACAAAATCTATTTCACAATATTCTGGTAAGCAAAAAGCGAATTGTTGAGCGCCATATGTAACGCAGCAAAATTCGCAACAAATAATATTCATACGTAACGTAGTCTAAGACTAGAGTACATAACTTTACTAATAAAGCAAGAAATATGTAGCACAGTACACTACGCTAGTTTGAAAACGACGTTGCTACAGAGCGAGTAATCACTACACTAAAGTTGTCGCGTTTAACATTTATTTTACGAAATTCGAAATTGTTTTTCTATTCAAATTAATCGTTCTCCAATTGAATTTTTATTCATTATTTGATATTCATTTCTTTTCTAAACCTCTTTAAAACTTGAATTTGGTGAACTATTTATTAAATATTTAGAAAAAAAAAGAAGTAGCACATATAAAAAAAAAATTAATTGAAAAAGCTTAAAAAATTACTAGGAGGACATGAGGAGTTAGCCTAATCTAATCTGAAAGGTCGATCGCTGCGCCTGAAGGAAAATCTAGTGATGTAATAAGATACCGGGACGTGGACTGCTTCTACTCCTCTGGCATTACAACAATAGCCTCATACGAAATTATCATTTTAGGGAAGGAAGGATTGTTAGTAATGGTGAGGTTAGTCCTCATTGTCCTCAGTGTAGCAATATAACGTCAGGTCGACTTCGTCGCGGTCAACTGCTATTTCGTGCCTTCCATAACGTAAGGTGCTAACGGATGCTTAATTGAAAAGATAGTAATAGGGTTCTTGACTAAAATTCTAGGGTTCGTTAAAGTAATTCGTATAATAAACTATACAATTCATATCTTCTATTTTTCTCTTTATGGTGAAATGTAGCTGGCAACTTCTCACCATAAATGGCTGACTGGCCAGCCTTTTTTATATGTTTTAATCTTTTTTCTATATTTTTTTGACACTTTTCCGAGTCTGTTCAAATATATGGTTTAGTAACTTAGTTTTATTGTTCTCCAATCACATTGGTTCTTTAACTTTCCCTCTACCGTAACAATGTAAATCGAATACTTCTCGAATACATCGAAACGAAGTATCTATTCATCTCCGTTTCCAAACTCCTAAGAAGGCCGAAAACTATATGGATAAATGTAATTACATACATAAGAATCCAATCCCACCAATGTTTCCGATAACAACGTATTCAATTATAGAAAAAAAAAATAAAGACATTATCAGATGGTACTATCTTCTCAGAAAATACTAACAATAACTACAGTATAAAGCGTCAAAATAAAAATTAAAATAAGAAATAGATAAATGTTAAAGTAGTAAATGAGGCTTATAAGTAAACGATTTTTATATACTGTATTTTTTGTAATGATCTTCCCATCGTAACTGCCAATTAGCTGCTATTAACATACAAAGTAAGCATTTAAATGCGACAAGAGTTTCAGTTGGTGAATACACAATGCGAATGAGATATTAAAAATCAAGGTTATTAACTAACCCTAACGTAGACATCGATCTAAGAACCAACGTACTATTTCGGGTACTAATATAGTATGCGAATGAGAACTTTGGTTTCCAGTCGACTTCAAAAAGATAGAGATTTTCAATTCGATTCTATTTTTTCAATATTTTTTACCTCATAACTCCGTCAGTTGTAAACTGATTTGAAAAGTTCCTTTTGATTTCAGGTAGAAAGGATATACTTACAGATTAGTCCCATGGAAATTTTTTCAAACTCTATTTCATACTTTAGTTTTTAAATCAATACAACAATTGAAGTAGTTTGTTCATACGGAATATAATCTTTATTAGATCAATGAAATAGTATATCATCTGAATTCATGTACTTATATAAAATAGCAGCACATTTAAAAAAAGAGTTTTTACGATATGAAGTTTATCAATTTTTTTCATAATTTAAAATAATTTTGTTCAACAGGCAGTGAGTGAAGCCAACACAAATACCAATTGGGTGCAACGACAATTATCGCGATTAGCTCGCAATCTTCGGTATCGCATCAGCGGCGAAGGACGTGCCAAGCCACCAGATTGGTTCCTAGACAAGTTCGCGGCTCAAACTTTCACAGATCCTGAAGAACCGCTCTATCAGGCTAAAAGATCAAAGCTACTATGCGGGCTGAAACTGGCTTTCGATCCTACTCTCCCGGCTCACTATCACGTAGGTATCCGTTTTAGTACTTGAGTTAGCATTAAGTCCACTTAAAATTATTCCTATAGTAGTCTCTAGAGAAATTCCGATCTTAAGTCCATTTTTAATAGTGTAATTTATTTTTTATTTATGCAGTGGTTGGCGGTGGTTTCATTGGCCATCCTCTACAATGTGGTTTTCGTCATTGGCCGTGCCGTATTTTGGGAATTGGACAATTTGACTTCATTCTGGTTTGTTCTTGACTATCTATGCGACACCATCTACCTTATCGACACCATTGTACATGTACACGAAGGTTAGTAAGATATTTTTTCCTGATTACAATAAAATTAATTCAGTTGTATTTTTCTATTAGAATTTTATCGATTTATATTTCCAAAAAAAAATGTTTCATTCTAGACATTTATTTAGATTATAACAAATTACTCTCAATCTATTATTATATTCTATTATTTTTTATTATAATACATGTTTCAGCAATCGCTTTTTTATTAAATAGACTTTCTATCTATCTATCCTATTTAAGAGCTGCGCTCTTGTCGGTGAAGCTCTTGCTTTATATTAAATAGACTTTATGGAAATATAAATCGAAGCTAAAATTGGGTACTTGTTACGATTTCTCTAAATGACATATGTGTCGTGTACAGGCCTCTTAAATATTTGCTGTGCGACAATATAGGTATATAAATGTGAAACAGGAAGTGTCTATGAACCCGCATTGTGAGCGAATGTCTTAATTTCAAATGCAAATTTGTAATCTATATGGCAATCAGATAAAGTTATTTTAAACCTTGACAATTACCATTGATTTATCAAAAAAGATAAGCGCATGATGTTTCTAGGATTACATTTCTAAACTATATAGTAAGAAATTAATATTTGTAACATTCACAGACTAATAAAGTCATTTAATGTTATAAATATTAAACACCATCAATTTATTCTGACAAATTTATTTTACTTACTTTCCCTTTTGTAAACGAACAGAATGTTATTGCTATCTACACTTACTCGTAAATATAATAGTTGCCGCCAAATTACTTGTTGCACGATCTAACGACTATAATACTCGATCACGGCAGTAATTATTTCAGTCTTGCAGACGACATTTCTACACGATATTGGACACATTTCTATCATAAAGATATTTATGATAAAAACTTACAATGTATATAATCGAATAAAATTTCTTTAAATATAAATACAAAATATAAATACTTATGGTTCTGATGAGTACACAAACTATATTTTTCTTTGTTTTATGCATTATTCACTATTAATTATGTCCCATTCGCGTTTTTACCGTTAAGCAGTTGTGTTTGCTTGACTGTGTTTAGGTTTGTAAGATTAGATATGGCAGTGAATTTACAGGATACAGAAGAATAACATCCGAGTTCTCAGGAATGGCAACACATGGGGAGTACCATGTAAACTCTGTTATGTCCATGATACTACTCATGTCTTTAGGCGACGGTTACCATTTTCCATCAAGCTGATGGCCTACGTCTGCTTTCTTGCCATTTTAAGATGCATTAAAAAATATTTGTGTGTTATTTTATATGATTGAACTATTTATTGGTGTATAATAGGTTTAAACACCATCGAGCTTGTATCATATCATATCCTTAGAAACAGCTATTAGTCCTAGTAGTGTTAGTTACGGGCATTGGCTTCGAAGTGAGCACCACAAATCAACAATTTGACACCCACACACAAAGCCGCGCCTTGCGTCATCAAATTTAGCTAACGTGTAGACAAACATTCGACCCTGCCTAGTTGCTTTTTCCGTACAAATATTGCATTGCGGCTTTCTGGTATGATACCATCCTTCATGACTCGTGATCGATCAATTCCCCGTGTATCCAATCCGAAATACTGTGTTCATAGATCAATGTCAATTATCTTCCATAATTTCTATTTTTTACACAACCATCCATTTTGTTTTTGTATGATTCAAAATAGTTCTACTGACAATACAGTTTAATGCGTTAATTCAAATTAATAGTCATTTGTTATCATAAAAAAACGCTTTAAGTATACAATATTATAAACATTAGTAATTTCTGTTTTCACAGGTTATTTAGAACAAGGACTCATGGTTAAAGATTCTAAAATGTTAAGGCGACACTATCTGAAATCAGATTCATGGCGATATGATCTTATATCTCTATTACCCACTGATATCGCCTATTACTGGTGGAGACCTGGAACATGTGATTATGTTAGTATACTTAGCTCTTTCCAAAACTGTTAAATATTATAATAGAATAACAAGAATTATTCCAGCACGACATTATTTAACTTTGTTATTACTGAAACGTCAATATTGGTTGTGTTTCAGAAACGTTTGCCGTGCCCTGTTATTGTACGTCTCAATCGGCTATTTCGCTTGCCTAGAATGTGGGTGTGGTTCGACCGGACTGAAACCGCTACTAGTTATCCGAACGCTTTCAGGATATGCAAGGTTACCAAAATATTTAAATTTTATTAAATTTATAACCACCAAGATTATTAATTATTCATACATATTTTTACTCCTTTTAGGTCGTTATGGCGATACTTGTTCTTATTCACTGGAACGCATGCCTTTATTTTGCTATAAGCTACGCAATAGGATTCGGCACGGACAATTGGGTTTACAATTTAACTGGCGCCCGTAATGAGTCGCTCGCTCATCAATACATTTACAGCTTTTATTGGTCTACTTTAACTCTCACTACTATTGGAGAAACGCCACAACCAGAAATCGATGCCGAGTACTTATTTGTTGTAGCAGATTTTTTAGCTGGAGTTTTAATTTTTGCTACAATTGTAGGAAATATTGGTTCAATGATTTCTAATATGAACGTAGCAAGAGTAGAGTTTCAAAATAAAATGGATGGCGTCAAACAATATATGGCATTCAGAAAAGTTAGTGGTGAATTAGAAGCAAGAGTTATTCGATGGTTTGCCTATACATGGGCTCAAAGTGGAGCATTGGATGAAGAAAATGTGTTATCTTCCTTACCTGACAAATTAAAAGCAGAAATAGCGATCAGAGTCCATCTGGATACATTACGTAAAGTAAGAATATTTCAAGACTGTGAACCCGGTCTCTTAGAAGCACTCGTGTTGAAACTTCGGCTTCAAGTTTTTAGTCCAGGAGATTATATTTGTCGCAAAGGTGACGTAGGTAAAGAAATGTATATTGTTAAAAGAGGAAGACTTCAAGTAGTTGCTGATGACGGAAAAACAGTTCTCGCAACTTTGAGTGCAGGTTCTGTATTTGGAGAAGTAAGCGTTTTAGAAATTGCTGGAAATCGTACTGGCAACCGACGAACTGCTAATGTTCGTGCTTTGGGCTATTCAGATCTATTTTGTTTGGCAAAAAGAGATCTCTGGGAAGCTCTTGCTGACTATCCCGATGCAAGGACAACACTCACTGAACGAGGCTGTCAGTTATTACGAAAGGTATATTTATATTTAATTTCATCATCATCTTCACATCAGTCTTTATCTATCCACTGCTGAATATAAGCCTCTCCCTTGGGGGGTTATACCAGTAGTTGCCACGCTTGGCACGCGGATTGGCAACTGCATTTAGGCTTTAGAGATGTTTTAAGAGGGACGCTGCTGCCCATCCTTCGCCCTCCTGAATCGATTCGTACAAATGCGGGAAAGCAAAGGGTGGTTCTATGCCGAGATCACACGGCAATATTTTAATTACCTTGATTAAAATAAATGATTATTTTTAACGTATTTATACAGTATTTCACACTGTTTTAACAGGATGGTTTACTCGATGAAAATGTATTTGAAAGTGCACAAACTACACAGCAAAGCCTAGAAGAAACCGTGCAGAAGCTTGAAAATACTGTAGATATGTTAAATAATCGCTTGCAAGGATTGCTGACTGATGTTGGTGAAGAACAAGCAAAAATGAATCAAAGGATAAACAAAATAGAAGTCAGGTTAGCAGTTACACCTATAATGATAATATATTATAATGATCTCAATGTACTGCTATTTGCGATTTAATAATGTAATTTATAAAATTTGCTACAGCGAATTTTTATTTTTATTCATTGTATTTGTATTTTATAACTTTCCTAAATAATAATATTTTTTCAGAGTGTTGGATGCAGAAGATGATGCAACAGATTCCGATGACATTACGTCCCTAGAAGCATCTGAATTAAGAAGTGAAGTAGTGAGATGCGGTGATGTTTCTGGTTACAGTGAAATGCAAGGAAGTTCAAGTCATGATACTTCAATGTTTCTTCTTAACAACCCTGTTATTCCTCTTCGAGAACGTGGGCATTCGCTTAGTGTAGAAAGGTCTCCAGGCTTACTAAAATTATCTCCAGAACCGCGTAGTAAATCATTGCGTTTAAAAAGATTTCATAAAGACACGAAATGAAAACATGTACACAACGCAACAATACGGAGCTTTAGATCAATATAAATTTTCTGTTATGATTTTTCCTTATTTTTTGAAGATTTAAAAATATTATTTTTGATACTAAGAAAGAATTTTAAAAACGAAAATTTTGAGATATGCGTAAATGAATTATATAAATAAAAAAAGGATGATCACTTCATATCTAAACAAATATAGGCATGACTTAGTACAGTCGCCGTTATAAATGTATTAATGTAGTTGTTGTAATGTACTAGAAGCGGAACTTATAAGGCGGAACTTATAAAAACAATACTTTTTAAATTATTTATTAATACTGCCTTATTGCAGTATAACTTATGTCGTTCTCATTAATAGACATAAGTGCAAAGAAAAAATTTTGATTAGATAAAAGTATATAGTCAAATAATTGACAGTAAATAAAGATAAATAATAACAGATCTCCATCACAACTTGACTTTTCATTTCACAACATTTGTAGACTTTTTTATATATAAAGTACAAGATGGCAAACAAGAATACAGTCCGTGTGTGGGTAAATGGTAAAAGACTTGAAAAGCTATAGGTACAGTTGAATTCTGATGGTGGAAAGTTTTAAACTAATTGGATTAAGATTGCATAGTTATAAGGAGGTTGTGTAAAATTGAATGCCGATAACAATTTTATAGATTTAAGTTTCCGTACAATTCTCCTAGAGATGTGTCAAATGTATTTCTCATTCTTTGACAAAATAAATTTATTAGAAGAGATAAATAAACGAGCTTTCATGTTAAGGTTCTTATTATATTTCAATGACAATTGGAAAATTGATTAAGTTATTGATTAATCACTTAATAAGGAAATTAAACATTAATACCATAAAAAATAAATAAATGTCGTGTTGTAGCAACAAATAATGTTAACAATGTTAGAAACAAAAATATTGTCAATAGAATAAATATATAAAGAGCATTCTAACTGATTATACAAAAAGCAAACTGAATCGAAATTTGTATTACTTAAATGGGTAAGAAAAATAAATGTCAAAAATCAAAACGCGTTGTAAGATCTCTGTTTACTTATAATAAATGAATAATCAAGTTTCTAAGTAGGTATCATTGTTTGGGATTGTGACAAGCTCGATGATTGGATGTAAGAGAGTCAATGGCTTACGTTTATAAAAATATATTTATAATCATAGTTATATTTCAATATAATAATAATTGCAAGAAGTGAAAAACAGCATATTTATATGAACTTAACATTTCTTAAAAGCTATAAATTCAAGCTCATTTTAACATAATTAAAATTACATAATTATTTTATTAAATAAACCATTATGTATGAACACTAATATTACTAAGTACTTGTCAAGTTAAAAGTATAGTAACTTCAGCAGACTTCAAAAAGTGGTGCATTTCTTTAAAAAATAACGGCAGACCAATATCAAATTTATTAAAAATAAGTTTAAGACCGTTTATTTAATTATTACTGTTAGTTTGACCAATTGACTTTTTTGTATATTATTACTATTTTTATTTATTGTATTATAACAATATTCTATCGTAAAAGAAACTCCAAGTGTTGACGTTAATTTCTTACTTTTTTATGGCAATTCTTTCAAACTTCTCATTAAAAAGACAGATATTTTGATTTATTTTTTCACTCGGTGAACGTTTCAAATTTTTAAATGTAGCATATAGTTACAGACAAATATCTTCGAAGTATTTTTAAATTAGGTATACTGTATTACGGAATAATGGTAAAAAATAAGTACGATTGTAATACTGATGATGTTGACTATATTTAGCTATAAGTAGTGGTAATTTATGGAAAGCGTATAGTGTATAAAACAAGTGTCAATGGGATGTAGCTTTAAGACGTGAAAGTGCTGTAAATAAAAGTACATAGACGTATAAGTGAAGGATTGATTTTTATATGGAATTTATTAATTCTGAACTAGATAATAGAAAATTGGTGATTTGTGTACGTGTTTGATATTCATGTTCCTTATAAAGAAGGGACTGATTCGTAATCTGTAATCATACTTGTACTAGCGATAGTAAGTAGCATAAATTATTATACAAAATTCTAATTTTAAAACTTATCTGACAGTGGGTGGGTAGTAAAATGTTCTTGCTTAAGACATGTATTGGAATAGTCAATTACATATTTTAATAATACCCTTTCAATAATAACTGTATGAAAGTAACAACATTTTTTTAGTTTCATATGTTTATTTTAGTACCTATCTAATTTCAAATATTTCTCTGTTTAAGAGAAAATGCTAAAAATGCAATCAATTTTTTTATATCCAATAATACGTTAGATAGCAATCCGTGTGTAAATATTATTTTCCTTGATTCAAGTATTTTTTATTCCAATATAATATTTATAACAAACCCACTTGGCCAATATAAATAATAAAAAAAAATTGGGTTGAAATCTTATAAGTAACATTGTACCTGTAATATATAGATAATATAATGTTTATGTAATAGTAAATGTGAACTAATATTACACTTGGTTAGAGAAAGTGAGTTCTATTCAGACTTTATGTCATTTATTAAGATAACCCTTCATTTATTTCACCCACATATCGGAATCTTATCATTTTCTGAATTATTGGTAAGTTCCCGATATCTTGGATGAGTTGAGCTTATAGTGAAGGTGAGATCCCGGTATACAAATCAAATCGAAGTCATCAGTATCTTTTTATAGAGTTTTCAAAAGGATGTGAGCGTCCCGTACTTTGTAACCTTATATCTGGGACGCGCCGTATTTGAGAAAGGAAAGCTTAAATTTAACCTGATATCTGTGATGCACCATATTTGAGAAAGAAACGCTTAAACTCTTACTCGATATCTAGAACGCGCCGTATTTGAAAAAGGGAAGCTTAAAGTTTTATGTTTCAAGGAGATAGAATCCTCCCCCAGAAGGACGCCAATGATTGTTTCAAGCTGTACAATTTTCATTATTGAACTTGAAAAGAAAAATACTCACTGAACAAACAAAATGCTTATACACCTATCTAAAAACCGTATTACAATACAAAGAAATAATTAAAAAAGAATATTAGAAATACAAAGAAATAATTGTTCATTCACATGTGATGCCAATATCTATCAACCGATCTAAAGTACGCAGTTTATAAAAAATCATAGATAGAATATACTATTATTTTTATTTACTATTAAGAAGCTAAATTATTAGAATTATCTAATAAGATTATGGATATCTCGATAATAAAAGACAAAAGTGAAATAGTTTATAACAGCTATGAATTCGGTAAAAAAATGCTGTTAAATAAACAATTTCTAAATAAACTAGATATTTCCTTTTCCTCTGTAATTTACAATTACTAACCTGTGCATATATTAATATATTGTAATAGTGAATAATTAAAATTTTATTAGACATTTCATTAAAAATTGTTCCTGTTATAAAAAAATGTGGTGCAATTGCACTGACCACTTAGTAAGATTTAGTTTCATTCATCTAAAGATGTTAATGTTAAATAATAACACATTCTATATCTAAGTAACTTATTTAAACTACAGTTATATTTTTAACGAAATTTCATTTTATTTCAATAACTCATAAGTCGCACATACATTTTATATACTTCTAGGAATGGCCATCAAGCTCAAAGCCTAAAGGTGAAGGTACTGAAATCAATGCATGTTATCAGCGAAGTTATCGTTCGGTAATCCATTTCAAAAACCTTTGTAGATTAAAACATATACTGAATGTGGTTCAAAAGCTCGACACCAGAAGACAATACTCCCACAAAATTCATAGTAGTATTAAAAAAATTTAGGCCACACAAAATAAACTCATTGCAGTACTGCTCGTAACACCTTTCTTGAATTGCCTCTGTGTAAATTGAGGAAATTCGATCACTAATACAAGGATAAGACATTAACTAACTTTGTGTTGTAAATTGAATTTAATACTTGAGCTTCAACTTGACATCAGTTGGTATTCTAATATTTACATGTGTGATGTGAATTATACTAAAATAGTAAAACTTCAAAACTATTCAAGTGACTGTATATTATTATTAGCTTTTACCCGGGGCTTCGCTTGCGTTAATATTGACTTTGTTCATCACTTCTAGTTATTGGTATACAAATTTTGTATTAATAGGAGGTAATTGTGTTTATATTATTATATAAACACAATAATTCTGCAAGCAAATCGGATGACGTAATAATAAGTTTCATACAAAAATGACTCCTTTTTCGCAAGAAAAGTAGCCTATAACCGTCTTCAAAGTCACATATATAAAAAAGTACATATATTAAATTCCAATTCAAATAGCGTAACAAACAAACATACCTATAGACATGAGCAGTACCATGGACATAATAGAGTATACTGTTTCGCCCATGATAACCCCGTATGCGTTGCCATTCCTAAGGATTCAGGTGTTATTCCTCTGTACCCAGTAAATTCACGCCATATCCCACCCTTCACACCGAAACACAGCCATGCAAACACAACTGCTTCACGGTTGAAACACGAATGGGACAGAGGTACCCAAGCAATCGTGTTTTGTACAAAGTCTCCCTTTGTCTAAATGGAACAAAACTTGTTTACAGTAATAAATTTTAATATAATATCTAACATTTTTACACCAACTAAACTATGTTTAATTCCTTACCCCATTATACTTATAAGTATCAAACGTCTCATAAATCTATTTTCGCTATTGAACTGTTTTGTCTCTTTTTTATACTAAATCCTTAATTTGAGAGTGACAAAAGTAATAAATCAGTGTAATAGTTAAAATAGATTTGTAGGTTTTAGTTTTATAAATGAGGGTCTTAGTTTTATTAAACATTGTTTACATAAGTACTATTTTCAAATATTTTTATAGTAAGACGTAAGTAAATTTGCGGCCGCAAAACGCCTTTATTTTGAGTTCTTTTATGCAAAAACATTAGACAATGAAGTCCAACATTGAGTACCTATTTATAACTTACCCGCTTCGTTTTCTGTTAAAATTGAGCAATTCTGTCCTAAATTAGTATATCGGAGATTTTCCTCATATAAAACCAGCTATTTAATTTGGTTTCCTGTAGGGAAAAATGTATTCTGGATGACAAGATAAGCAAAGAGAATTTCTTCCTCATATTAGAAAATATTGTCTAATTCTGTTTCCTGCAGCAACAAAGGTAAATAAACTATTTAGATCAATTTTGTAAATTATTTTCTGTATATTTCTAAACGACAACGATTATACATGTATCTTCTATAACTTCTATCTTATAACTTAAAAAAATATCGCGGAGTAAAACAAGTCAGGTATAATATTAAACAACGGGCGGAAGCTTTAATTTCAGATTTTAACATATCAATATTACTAACATTTCCAGAAAAAATTGCGTATTGTTTGCTCTTTGGTTATGAACCCCGATTTAAATATTATTATAGATATCTCAAGAAACCGTACATGTGTAAATTTGCTGTAACTATACCTTAACCATTAACCTCGTTTTCAAACCCTATAAGATTTCTATGTCGACTTAGACGACTTTTTTTAAAAAACTGGTTACTTCTCGGAACAACTTTAGAAGGTAGTTCTCTAGAAGCTTCAAAACTATTAATACAAGTATATTTGAATTCATACTCGTAATTTACCTTTATTTATTTGCCTTTATTCCAAAAGAAGCTGCTGTAGATGACCCGGCCTTCTTATGCTATTTACCCTTGCCTATTTGAAAACTATCGAAGATTCTTAGAATACTATCTTTTATGTACGTATCGCTTCTTTATATTTTACTTTGTATTCAATTCTTTTACACCACTCTTAAAAATTATCCTCTGTTTTATTATAAATTTATAACTTACTACCACCCTTACTGCAAAAGAAGCTGGTGTGGATGCCACGTGCTCTTCATGCTACTTGCACTAGCCTGTTTGAAAACTGTCGATGATTCTCAGAAGACTCATTTATAAACGTATCGCTTTTTTATATTTTACTTTGTATTAAATGCTTTTACACTACTCATAAAATTATCCTCTGTTTTATTCTCTAACTGTCTAGTTGACAAACTGTAAATACGAATTGTGATTTACAATGCAACTTTCAAACCCTCAGTATTATAAATAATTCAATATGTCTATCTGTTGCCAATACCCGTTTCTATTGCCAAATAATAAACCTAAATAATAGATATATAACAACTCAAAGAACCGACAACGATGGAGAAGAAAGCAGGATATTGCAGGGAGTCAGTGGGTGCAGGTGGTGTAGGACCGTCCCTTATAGCAAAATTCTATGGGAGGCACTAGATAGATAACGGCTAATATGATGATGAAATCTAAATTTACCTAGATTTGTATTTTAGATTATTTTTTTTTTTGTTATTTCACTACCAACATCTAAATCCAGCTACGTGCATACTTCTTTTATTTATTTAACTGTCTTCTTCATATTATATCTCAAAATCATAAATACTCCTTACGTTTATGGTGAGAAACCATTGAATCAAATTATAGAGATAAAAGCAGCGAGAAATCTAAGAACAATAGAATTAAACCAGTTTATACTACTTAGCGATATAATAAAATCGCTATGAGAGTACGAAATGTACAAAATAACAAATATATGATTTCAAAAACAATAAAACAACTTATAATTATGTAATTACTAATTAAAACCTATTAGGAGAATTAAAGGCAGAAAAAAATTGTTGGTTGGTGATGCCATGTTTAGCCTTTAATTTAATTACTTGGTTGGATAGTCATTCTTATAGAGTTAAATAAAAATATATTATTGAGACAGAAACAACATTTAATAAATATCAAAATACGCCCTCTTACTTGAAATTTTCAGAAGTGTGTCTAATAATACGAACAAATATTATTTAATGAACTATCACAGTAAAAAACCATGAGAAATGGAAAAGCAATTAAAGTAAATGACAACAAATCATTAAGGGCGTCTTATCTAATCTCTGCAGGCATGTTAAAACAGTGGGCCTTTTATCATATAGAAAGATGAAAAAAATTTTATAAACAATATTGCACGTAATGAAATTGGCTACGTTTAAAACTCGCCCAATTTCACCACAAAACATTGTTCCACTTAGTGAAATGATTACATATAACTATCATTAAGTATCATTTAATAACAAGTCACTTGGGAAACTAACTATGCTAATATTAAAGAGTCACACAGGAATCTTACAAATAGTATTCTTGCAACAACTAGGGAGAAATATTCATTAGACATCAACACACCAATTATTATTATTTTTATCCAATACATACAAGATACGTAAGTATCATGAACCGTTTAAAGATTCCCTCAAAACATTGGTGCATAATTTTACACAGCAATATGCCAACAGTTTCACGCGCTAGCTAAACATCAGCTATTTCTGTCTCACTTTATCCAAATAATTATGACAAGGGATGGGTGCAGATATTGAGCCAACGTGTGAATTCGGGTCAGCCTCGACGGCTACAACCATCGGTGTCAGTACGAGTGATTATTGACATTAATGAAGACAAATTAACTGCTTGTCGTCATTGTATTTATCAATAACATTATTTCACGGTGGGACACTCACTCCGATATATTTATCTGTACTATCATCTGCAACAAATATCTACCAGATATCAACATTTTAATTCAAAGAGCTCTCAATATTTTTTCATAAAATCTATTCATCTACGATAAGGTACACGCGTACAATTAACTTTATAGTTTTATACATTAACCACTTTTACGTCGATTTTATATATTACAGTCATATTAATAATCCATTTATGAATCTTATTCCAATCTAGTGCATAAGATATAATGGATAACTCTAGTCTTATTTCCCTCCAACTTTGGTAAATTTACATAAAACATTTCGAATATGGCGCTGCATTAGATATGAGACTTGACGACGCCTCTTCTTTCACACCAACTGAAAAATAGAATAGATTTACTGCAATAGAAATATAGTTGACAGAAATAAATCAGCTGTGTATATATATATATATATAGAATTGTTATAAAGAGTATTATTATACATAGGTATAATAATTAACGTAGCATAGGAATTAAATTAAAAATATTTGTATATTATTTGACGATTTATATTATTATAAAAAGTTTTAAGGACACCAAACCAGGAAATTATGAACATGAATAATACTACCGTAAATACGAAATATGTTACTAATGGTAATCTTCTTAATGCATGTAATTCTCAAAACATATGTAATTATTTTTTCTTTTTAGAAATTTTACCTAATATAATGTATGTCTTAGGTAAAATTTCTAAAAATATATATGCCTGTTGTAAAAGAAAATATATACAGTATAAGTGTACAGTTCAAAATTAAATAAATAATATTTATAAAAATAAATATTCATAGATATAAAAATATAATACTTAAAGAAATAAACTAACAGATAAAATGGTATTCACCATCAGGCCAGAAAGAAAACCTTGCGGCGCTAGTTTCCGAGGAGGTAACAGTCTCATGTCGCCGCGTCGGGGAAAAACTGCTTGTGGGCACGTATCCAGAGTTGGGACTCGGGGAGCCACCTGACAATAAATAAACGGTCTATAATTATGTCAAAATAAACTAAGATGCGTGATATGAAAATAGCATCATTATCAGCGTGAATTAAAATAATCGTCCAAATCACAATGTGTTACAAATTAGTTTATTTTTCAAGAACACATATCATTAGAAAGAACCTAGCTTGATATTAGTTTTTTTAAGGATCAGCCCTAGATTTCTGTCTACATATACTGTACCTAATACACTCCCAGCTTTTCTCTACAGATACTACGTTATCATTGGTAAAAAATACTAGAAAATCATATGACTTTTTACAGAAGCTAGAATGGTCTTTTAACCAACTTATTTTTAGATTAACTCTTGTGTACAATATTGAGTACCTAATAGAACGAGCCTCTCTATAAATTGGTGTATAAGCATCTCTTGTAATATTTTGGTTTATTTGGTTAAATTACGATAGCTATGAAATAGCTATTACGAATTTTCAACAATGCGAATCGCATAACTTACATGCGCCATCTGACGAGATCTCAAATGTAATGTAACGCTTTCCACAAAGTCAATAGCACAGTACTATGTTAACAAATTTCGAAGCGTTTGTGAACGCCGATAGAGGGCATTTTAATGAAAGTAATGAAGGAAAAACTTTGCCATAGAGATCATATTAGATTATTCTAAAAGATGGCATGTTACATTACAAATAGGCATTTTAATGGAAGCAATGAAGGAAAATGTTTGCAACAGACATTATATTAGACTATTAAAACAGATGGCAGGATTTATTGTATATTATACATTAATTGTATGTGACATCAAAAGTTTTATATAATTTTATTTTTTTTTCGATAAATTTTATGATACTTATATGCATATATACAACATTAATAGTAGAAACCAAGTTTTCTACGCATCTCACGCTACACACTACATAGAAACCTTAGAAATTTACTAAAAAACAACCTGAATAAAAACTTTCAATTTGTTAAGCTTTATTTAGGACGCATTTCAAATAATTTTTTTGAAATGAATTATGCATATAGCGATCCATTTCGCTACTTGATTTATCAATCAAGTCAATCAAAATTTGAACAGGTTTCAATAAATGTAATATCTTTTATTATTTATAAAAAAAAAACTTTTATATTAGTATAGAAAAAGGTGACGTTTTGTTTAATCTCTTCACTCTTTCTGACAATTCTTTCCTTGAAATGTTTCAGAGCTTTCCATTGTCGAGATAGAGTAGTTCGGGTAGTCGCAATTATAACACTTAAAAGAGTCAAAGATCCTATAGTAAAACAAAACCATTACACTAGTCGCCTTTATAGATTGGTGCACTACATCGGGGCGCGCTATGTTGTCAACAGATCGTCTTTTACCATATATTAAAATAAATGTATTAATTTATATTAAGATTTTTTTTATTTTTCTTTTTCGATAAATTTTATGATACTTATATGCATATATACAACATTAATAGTAGAAACCAAGTTTTCTACGCATCTCACGCTACACACTACATAGAAACCTTAGAAATTTACTAAAAAACAACCTGAATAAAAACTTTCAATTTGTTAAGCTTTATTTAGGACGCATTTCAAATAATTTTTTTTAAAATGAATTATGCATATAGCGATCCATTTCGCTACTTGATTTATCAATCAAGTCAATCAAAATTTGAACAGGTTTCAATAAATGTAATATCTTTTATTATTTATAAAAAAAAAAACTTTTATATTAGTATAGAAAAAGGTGACGTTTTGTTTAATCTCTTCACTCTTTCTGACAATTCTTTCCTTGAAATGTTTCAGAGCTTTCCATTGTCGAGATAGAGTAGTTCGGGTAGTCGCAATTATAACACTTAAAAGAGTCAAAGATCCTATAGTAAAACAAAACCATTACACTAGTCGCCTTTATAGATTGGTGCACTACATCGGGGCGCGCTATGTTGTCAACAGATCGTCTTTTACCATATATTAAAATAAATGTATTAATTTATATTAAGATTTTTTTTATTTTTCTTTGCTCTACCTAATTAATCCTCACCACTCACCATTCATTCACTCATTTACTCTCACCTTTAGATGCTGAACGGACCTCTACATAGATATACATCTCTAACGTATTTGTTTTTTTTTTCTACTAAAAAGACTACATATTATTGTTAAAAAAATATTGATAAAAAATAGTACATTGAGGGGTAAGTGTAAAAATTGCCCTTTACCCACCGGTAGAGGAAACATTGGTAAAACAAGAGAAACAGACCCCGACAATTACTCATTTACTCAATTATATATTTTTTGTAACATTTTGAAATAGACAAAGAAGCTGATTGATACCTTCCGGCCAAAACGGAAACCGCGACACAGTGTCCGAAGACGAAACAATGTCGTGATGTCGACTCGGAGAGTATCCACCTGACGAAGGTGCATATCCCGGACCTGGACTTGGTGAGCCATCTGAAATATAAGAAATATACTAATTTCAATATAATGTAGATGTAGCGTTCCAAAAGATTTGGTGCCCACTGCGCATGTGTCCGAAATTGAAGCAAAGTATATTAATTCTAAAAACAGTTATCAGTTTAGGATTGACAAAAATACAAAATAAAAAAAAATACAAACAAATTAAGTTCCTTTTCTTGAAGCCCTTTAAAAAAGTAGATTAAATATAGGTATGAGAAATTATGAGATACTAAACTGTACAATTCGTTTATCTGTAGAAGTAAAATAAGTACAGGTATGAGAAGTTACGAGGCACTATATTGTACATTTTTTTTATCTGTAACCTATATTAGGCAAAGAAATAAATATGATAATCAAAAAACAACCAAATTATTAAAATGTTTATAACTTACCCAACGCCGAAACACCGATTGGATTGTAAGAATTCATTGGTATTGACTGCATTGGTTGCAACGGATTCTGTAACTAAAACAAAAATGATAGACTTTAGGGAACAAAAAGTTATTATGTTAGTTAATTTAATATAAAAGTAAATATTCAATATACAATTATAAACGAGGAACGGCTTTAATGATTTCGGTACTAAGTCAGCTGAACTGTTTATTCTATTTTATTTGTGTTCATTATATTAACTACGTAAACAACAGTTTTCCCACTTCAAAGGAAAAGAACCTTCTCGAAATCAAAGGATATTGAACGTCTCAATTGTACTATGCCATAACATTGAAAATTTCTAAGGTATAGACCCTCAACTATATAATATACTAACGTAAACATTTTCAGCGATAAAGTTTTTATTGAGCATTCATAGAGGTGTTTTGCGAATATGTAGCTTTATTGCCTTGTGATACGCTACTAAATTTTTAATCTCAATTTAATTACAGAAATAAGATTAATCTTTTAACACACAAACATTTATAACAGCAAGCATGGAAAAGTGGAATGAGACCCATTTACCTACCTAATAAGTTTTGACACAATACTTTTTGCCTACTGATTTTCTACTACTAAACTTTGAATATTTATTAAATACTTCGTTCTCTTTAAAGACCTTTGAATTCTCATCTCAGATGTGATATTCATGAAATTTACTGCTAAATTATTTACTACCTCGAATCAGTTATATGAAGAACTAAACTATACCTATTTAAAGACAAAAGTAAACAAAAAAATACACCAGTTCATAAGATATGAGTTATCGGTATTTTCGTAACGGTAAATTGCCTAAAAACGAGATTATTTTAAGAAACTACAGTATAGGGTTCTTCACAATTAAAAAGGCAAAAAGGTTCTTTCAGGATCGGTAACGCGCGCGTACAGGAGCATTACATCTATTTACGGGTATTGTAGGCGTTAATAAGCTACGGTAACTGCTTACCATCAGATGGGCCCTGAGCTTGTTTGCTACTTTGGTGATATAAAAAAAAACAATCATTAAAAGATAGAAACAAAAAGAAATAAAGGAACTCTAACCCAACAAAAACCATTCCTCTGTCAAATGATACTGTAAACAAAAACAACGATGATTTGCTTGCTATTCCATTTTTAATTCATAAGTCTAGCAGGAGATGTTTACACTATTTTTAATATTTTTTTATTAATTGTATAATACAGTTCAAAATTAACCTACTTATTCTGCTATTATACTTTTTTTGTAAATAGAAAATTAGCAAAAACAAGTAAAAATAAATACGTCAACAAAAGTAAATATACAAAAGAATTTAAATAAATAAATACTGTAAATAGTAGATAGTGCTGGTAACTTATTGATCAATCAAGAAACCAATATTATTCAAAGGAAACCTTTCAGTCGCCGCAAGTACTTTTAAGCAAGATAGAATAAATAAGAACTAGGTATTAATTGCACGCAGAAAAGCATTGAAAAAAATTAAGCATATTCAATTTAGTAATTATATACCATTACACAAAACATGTCAAAATGTATCATAATATTTTTGTTGTTAATATATCGCAGTCAATTGAATGTGCGAACATACCTGTCCTTGCAACTGATGAGTCGCAAATGGATTTACTGAAACAGGAGATGATTGATGGGGCATCGCACTGTGCGGGGAGCATCCCGGCGGACTCCGGCCCATACTTCCACACGCGCTTGCATACCCGAGCCCACTCGTCGACTGGGTAAGCCAAGTACTGAAATGTGAGACATTCAGTTTACAATTGATGATTATTTTTCAGAATAATTTATAACATTCGCAAAAGTAAACGTTATATGTAGTTACACTTTAGAAGTTTAGCCAATCTGAGTGTTTAAGAAACCCAAATGCATGCTTTAAAAATGCATACAGTTTTATCAAGAAAGTACTTTGTCATTACCTTTTTAACGATTTAAATATTTAATACTGCTATACATATAATCATTACTGTCAACAGACAATAAATAAATATATAATATCATTACAATTCCATAATAATGTTGAACCTTCTAGTACCTACTATAGTATACTATCAAAAAGTGTAGAGTCATCAAAATTATACATAATAACGGAACAAGTGAATCGTGGACAGACTTCGTTTATTTCTTCACTACACTCATTTTTCAGTCAATAAACATATGTGCGAAATGCCCAATCATTATGATAAAGAAGTATCTACTATAGAATTGTAACTGCCGTATCGATAACTCATAGCCAGTCCGCTAGTTCAAAAGGCTCGAACATTCTCTCAAATGACCGTGAATAGGCAGTGATGTAGTAAGCAAACTCCGCCCATCTCAGCCACTACCAACCAATGGTGTGTGTGTTATGAAACTCAATCCTAATTTTGCATTATAATACAAACCACAAATAAACTAAATATCATGAATTTCTATCAAGACTTGATGTTTTAATCTTACTGTTTGCTATACATAAGATTTATATTCCCTTGCAAGACAAACACAACAACATAACCAGAATTATAAAACTTATGCATGAAATTAAAAATAAAACAATAAACAAAATAAATTAATTGTAAACCTAATTAGCAATTTATCTAATTGTTGAAATGTTTGTTACCGTAACCTACAGTGGTAAGACTGACATTTCCAGTTGCTCAAATAAAGAAGATAACACTGAACAAGTTCAAGCCGTACAAAGGAAAATTATAAATATAATATAATACTGTTGCATACCACACAAATGTTAGTATAGAAATTAAAGTGATAATCAATGACCTAATTTCAGTAGCACTAGCTACATAACATAATTATTCGTGTACGTTATATCAAAATGAAAGCCCATACAAGCTGCATTCTTTAAATCTTTGGTATAAATGTAACTGGACCTTTAGAGACATCGTTGAATATCATATTTATTTTTGTAAATTAAAATTTACATTTATTTTTGTTTTAACTTTACTCAAAATACCACCAGTTAATGCAATTATTTGATCTTCAAAGTTTCTTAGTCCATTACTACAATCGCACATAATTTTAAGATTTCTCCAATAATTAGATAAGTACGTATCAATGTCGGCGAGTCCGAACAGTAATTGTTTGTATGTTCTCTCCTGATACGAAGTAGTTTTTATGTATGGCATTTTACTACTCGATATGATAAAGAGCAGTCAAATAATAAAATTCTTTATCAAAGCACATATTGTTTATATGCCCCTATCACATCGTATCAGCAATAACTATTGGCTTAAATCACAACAAGGTCACGGCAACCACCACCTGTGCACTGACCATTAAACAATATGTATGTAATTAATTACTATAATACCGAGACGGCGGAAATGGAAAATAAAAAACTTACCAACATATCAACGTACCATTAGCATTTGTTTTGTAAACATCGTCAACGAGAAACGTAAATATTTAGCATAATAATTTGTAATAGGCAGTGACGCTTTGACAATTTATTCATCGCTTGATTCACAATTTTATAAGTGTTAACAAATTAGCGACAGTCTATATTTACATAACAAAAAGACTATTTTTTTTTCATCACATATTTAGCCTTTTTAAGGCTTTTTCACGTAATTTGTAATCGATTGCGACGGCAAGACTAAAATCATCTTTTACTGTCAACTTTTCTACTAATTTTACTTTGACAGATTTTCAAAATTTACTGGAAGAACATAAAAATACTTAATTTACTATCATGTTGGCTATTTATTCACATAAGTTCTCCATGTGATGTCAATTAGCATACATATATACGTTGGCTTAATACACCTACATATTTTCTCATTAGTCTTATTTGTTTTATACACTTCTAATTTTTTAACTAGGAATTAGTTAAGAACAACATCAGTGAAAATACTATTTATAAAAAAAAGTGCGCTGTCTGCAAGGGACAAAGAACAAGATGAAAAGAAACAGATTTTACACAATACTTACGTGTCATATCTAGGATAAGATGACGGATACGGAGAACCGGAGCCAAAATAATTTCTCGCTCCTAATGGAAGTGGTTGCATATGAGGTGGCACGTGTTGGGCAACGTGCGCCACGTGGTATCCATCGCCGAATAGTGTTTTCGTATAGGGCGTAGTCCGGAATGGCCTTTTCATTCTGCGTCGTCTCCTGTAGTTCCCATTCTCGAACATATCTCCGCATTGTGGATCTATAACAACACTGCACTCACAGCGAGAATGGCTAAACAGTAAGGTTTCGCTAGCAATTCGCATTTCAATGGTAATGATTATGAATGAAGATGACGGATGAATAATCGCTTAGCCTTCATCGTTCGCATTGCATTATATTAGTAATACACTAGTCTACTAGCAGATTTTGATATACAAAAATATAATAAAACAAACATACCTAAAGTCCAATAATTTCCTTTCCTTTCACCCCCACCTTCACGTGGTACTTTAACAAAGCATTCGTTTAGACTGAGATTGTGTCTTATAGAATTTTGCCATCCCTTTTTATTTTTTTCAAAATATGGAAACTCCTTGGTGATATAAGCATATATTTCGCTGAGAGTGGCTCGTTTCGTTTGACTATTTTGTATCGCCATTGAAATAAGGGCCACATAAGAATAAGGAGGCTTGGTCAGGGCTTGCGCTGCTGTAGTGGATTGAGGCTTCAATTCCGAGCTCCCAGGACTGACAGGCGCCGCCGTTTTTGATTTGATTTTGGCTTCATTACTGTTACTAATAAAATTTAATGTCACAAATGTAAAATATATGTAATATCATAATGATACCTAAAGATTATTAACATACCTGTTGTTATTATTGCTAGAACTATTGTTGTCCTCTCTGGAGAGAGAAGGCAATGAAAGAGTTTGATATACCCTGGAAAGATCTTCTTCTCCTTTAACATTTTGGGAGTTGGGAGTATCATTTGCACTGGTTTCTTGAATACATATTCTATTATCATACGGCTGGGTACCTATAAAAAGAATTCTTAGGTTATAATAGTTATAGTAACAGCAAGAACTTTAACTCTACAACCTTGTTAAAATTAGAAGTATGCAAACATTGCAACAAATACTTGGATTTTAATCAATGTTTTCTTTTCATTGTATTCTTATAATATTCTACACCATAATTAATAAAACATATGCACATTCTTACTTCTTATATCTCTTTATTTTTATTTAGCAAATGTCAGGAATTAAGCATTATATATAATACCTAATAACTAATTCATAAATTTTGTAGTACAAAAAGGCAATTCAATATAACCTTAACAATAAACTAAAATTATTTATTGCCCCTGGCATCAAACTTAACAATATCATAAAAGGTGAAGACTCTTAAAAAAAACTCTATTGTCATAATAAATATTATTTCTAGTTCCAAATTGTTAGGAAGAGGTTTGCGGTCGATGTTTAGACTGACTAGTATGGTAGATGAAGTATATTTAAAATTTTTAAAAATAATGCCTCATCTTGGTGTCTTCTGATTCTATATAGTAAAATATCAAAATGTATATACTGTGTCTTTATGTACAGCTTAGTAAATTTTTATATATACATATATATGTTTAGTTTGTGGCGGGTTGTACGGTGGTGAGAATCAGCAGCAGTTATCAATCGAAACAATTCTTCAGAGCACTCCCCATGATAAGTTCAGTTTCAGTGGATCGAGTCGGACAGTAAGGCGCTGATCGTCAACAATTCGAACCGCCTGACTTTGAATGCTGTCTAACGAAAGGAGTTGGTACTGTGGCGTACCTGGCCATATGTGAGAACAGTATTCCATATGTAGCCTGACTTGAACCCTATACAATTTCAGGCGATGTTCCGGCTTGAAATACCGTCTCGCTCTATTGAGCACTCCTAATTTTTTGGAAGCTATCTTAGCTTTTTTCTCCACATGACCACAAAACTGGACATCGCTAGATATATTGACGCCAAGAACCCCTAGACTCAATTTATTATCAAGGGAAATACCCTGAAAGTTAAGAGATACGACAAACGGTGTCTTTTTTGCGGTGAACGCGCAGACTTGTATCTAAAATAACAACACAACCACTATTCTTCATTGATACCCACCATTGTATTATTAATATACGCAGTTAGATCATTATTCCTTCATTAATTGAAAAAAGACCCTCAAATGCCTTTTAATAACTAACTGTATATAACTCATTGGTCCAATTTCAATGCTTATAATGAATTCAAAATATTGCTATTATGTTATTATATTTAAAGCTAGAAATGTAGCCAATCTTACACGTACGTGCCTCCCGATATGGGTTTCTTGGAATTAGTCGTTTACCGCTGGCTAACCAAGCATTCAACACTTTCGTAGCTAACTATTCATTACAAATAAAACCTTACCAACCTGCTATTGTTGATCAAACATGATTCAAAAATAATACAAGTCAGAACACATTTAACGCCAATAAATCCGATACCTATTCATAGAAAACCTGGTAATACAAAATCGTATCATAATATATTGTTACAAAATAATCAACTCCGTGGAGTAAGAACCATATGAACATTAGCTACTTAAGTCATTCTAAATAAAAACCAATTCTACGAAAAAGGAGTTCAGCATTATTCACTTCATCCTATTTCAAAACACCTTAAACCAGGAGAAAATCTTAAAATAAAACACTAATCAAGCCGCCTTGCTAATATGATATAAATAGACTAATACTCTCTCGTAGCTATGTTTTCTATTATTATTTGTTTTTTTTTTTTTTTTTTTGTCTTGTTTATTCTTATTATTTCTACATTCTATAAAAAAATATACTAAAAATCGAGTATATTATTTGCCCTCAATCCCCTTTCTCTTCATGAATTAAGTTATTATTTTTTATGAATTTTCATAAGTTTCTATATAGCAGTTATTAAAAGAGAAATATTATGTCAATGTTGTTAATGTAATATGATATTCTCTATGTGTTGTCGATCATTTTATTTAATGTCATAATTTACTAAACCGGCGTATGTATCATCAATAATACCACTCCATCCATCCATTCAAAAAAGTACCATACCATAGTTTGGTAAACATTATTGCTTCTTTTTGGTACTATAAAAAAATCAAGACCTTTCGAACCGAGAAATTTACAAATGCCTATAATGCAAAATTTCTATGACATTCTCATTTCAAACCCAATTTCTGAGCATAAAAATATGTAAGCCTGTATCTAGTTATGCAATTTATCTAATATTTTCATCATCATCGTCTTTACCATCATTGCATCATTTATCATATCCCATGGCGCTACCGGTTAAAAAAACATCTATGCTTGTTGTAAACTAATCTTCTTTATATTTTACTTTTTAAATTATATTATTGCTTATTGTGTTATGTTTATATTTATTGTTTTGTCTACTTCAGTTGTCATATTTCTCATTGTCAACATACATTGTATATTAAAGGTTTTGAAAGGTCGGCATGTTTTTTCGACTCCTTATTAATTACAGTCCTATACTAATGCCAAAATACTAATCATCTGTATATAAAAATTCAATCAAATCTGAAAAACATCAACTTTACGAACTTTCATGTCAATAATGTTAGATCTATAAAACTATTATTCCTTGAAGCTAGAATAATTCACATATGATTGAAAATATATTTTTACAATCGATAATATTGCGTATACTACTCTTATATAATAATACTCTTTCCATGATTAAGTACAAAATGTTATTATGTCCCCTTATTTTACACGAGTGTGGAAGAATGCGTCAGACAGACGCCGCAGGCCGATGTGGTTGCATATCGTATTCGAACGGAGCTGTGAACACCGCAAGGTATTGTGTCGCTTATAGAACAATGCGTCGTATTTATAAAACATTAAAAGCCAGCGTATCGTTCGTGAAATTAATAACAAATAACAATTGTGAAACGTTAGTTCGGGAGCAGTGCGAATTACCCATGCCTGTGAATAACTCAGATCTGAATGTTCAGCGTAACGATAGGACTCAACGCGATGATCTTGATGGAACTCACATAAATATTTAGCGTATCGATGGGACGCGGTTTGATGATTTTGATGAGACTCGTCTTAATATTCACCGACCCGATGGGACTTGGCTTAATGAACATGATAGGACTTATTTAATTATCCAATAATCGACAAAATTTGGCTTGGATTCAATAGAAATATTCAGGAAAACATGAGATTCGGCTTGATGATCTTATCTGAATACTCAGCGATACGATTAGAACTCACCTTGTTCTTAATGGGATTCATCTTAATGACAAAGATCACTTTAATAGAATACCCGAATTAAAGATAAGTCTTGTGAATTATAATTCTTCGAATTTCACTTTTTTCGGAGGTTAGATCACATTAGGACAATAATATGTTAATTTTTCATTTTATTTTCGCTCTGATAGAGCAAATTTGTAAAAAAGGGACATAAAACTTATGACACTAGACTATAAATTGTTTATCGACGATATATGTAGAGCGGCTAGCAATCATAAATAGCGTATATATAACCGTCAAATAAAAAACGATCTAAATTCATTACACACCACAAACCTAAATGGACACAAATTGTTACCCTTTGACTTTAGATATTCCAAAACTATATTTCAAATATTTTTTTCCCACGAATAGACTATTTCAATAGTAAACAAATACATATTGACGAACGACGATATTTCACAAAAAGGATGAACACATATGGATTAATAACGTAAAATTTCCTTTCACAACAAGACATTATTGCTCCCATAAAAATGGCAACTTCACAAAATCAATAGTAATATAACCTATAGAACCAACACAAAAAAAATCCTATCAATTTAAAATAAAAAATTGTAAATAACGATTCCTAATTCAAAGTAATGACATAACAGAGTCCCAAAAAAATCAAGTCGAAACAAAAACCTGCTAACTTTAATCATGTCCAAATTACTAAACTATACTACTAATTGTATTTATAATTATCGAAGATGTCGTACAACATACACAAAATTGGTGAATTAAGTACCTTTTCCTTTTTTTAGACATCATCGTGGAATGAAATCTCATAACACCCATCGACGTTAGTTGCATTCCTTAAATACGTACCATTCAACACAAACACGTGTTCAGTCAGATAACGTACGTATACATATTTAATACTAGCTTATACTCGTGGCTTCGTCCGTGTTACGGTAGCCTATGTCTCCATCCCATATTTAAATTATTATAGTAATCGGTAATATAGTAAGATAAATGCTGTAAAGATGAGAGCTTTGAGAAGTATGTGTGGTATGACATTAAAAGAAGAGTAAGAAACAGTGTGATTAGAGAGAAGTGTGGACTGAAAGACGATGTAGTGACAAAAATCGAAAAAGGAATGTTGCGTTGGTTTGGTCATTTGGAGAGGATGGATGAAAGAAGAATTACGAAAGAGATTTATCGAGCAAGAATGAATGGAAATGTTGGTAGTGGCCGCCCTAGACGGACGTATGTCGACCAAATAGGCGACGTGCTGAAGAAGGGCCGAATTAAAAGTACCCGTAACCGGCGAGCGTGTATGAAAAGATTGATGAATGTGGAAGAAGTGAAAGAGGTTTGTTTGAATCGAAGCATTTGGCGTTCCATTGTTTCTGCCTACCCTAATGGGAGACAGGCATGACAGATATGTATGTATGTATGTATAGTAATCGGTTAAGCCGTTAAGGTATCAAGAGGTAACAACCTCACTTTTACATTTATAATGTTAAAAAGGATTAATGACTAGCATGAAATCCGTCATCGTTACCGTCCATCACCATTGCCTACAATGCACTTAATTCTACCAATATAGACATTATACAAGAACAAATCATATCGATCTGACTCTTTCTCACTAAGTCGAAATTTATAAAAATCGAATTTATGTTATAGATCCTTTTAAGAGCAGTAAGACATAGATTTTCGACACATTTATCCTTTAAAAAAATAAAAAGAGGAACTTCGAAATTTAAGGATTTGTAATCAAT